GGGGGCTGGGGCAGGGAAGGGAGGGAGCGCTGCGAAGGGGCTGAAGGCGGAAGTCTCCGCTAAATTAAACAAACAGAAAGTCTTCTTGATGCTGGTTAACCTTCCCCAGTTAGCCCTGTGCTACTAATCGTACCAAACTGGTGTTCGAAGTTCCCTGGGTGATTAAAGAGTTGGCTCGCAAACTCTCTGCATAACCTTAATTTTTTCAAGGTTCTTTGAGTGGAGAATGGCTTATAATAATGATTTTGACTAATACGATTTTTGACATGCAACTTTAATGCTTAACCTTAGTACAACTCCAGAGCATTTCATGTGTACTCAGCTGTAAAGAGTGATGATTTAAAGGGATAATATAAGAAAAAGGTCGTTCTAGAATGAACCTCTAACAAATTGCATAAAGGGAGCTTATTATTCCATGAGTATGGGGATATGCTGCTCTTCTGATCATTTTTCTGCTTGGTTCAAAAAAATTGTTGAGACATGAATGGGAGAAGAAACAGGAAAAAATGAAATAGAAATCTGCAAGCAAGGAACATTCTTTTGATGGTTATGATTTCGCGTCGCCACTCAAAAGGCTCTACAATAATGTGGTTATTCATCTCCTCTTTTGTTTTGGGTGAAGAATTCGCTCTAACAAGAAAATGCTGTTATTGGTCGGAGGCTTGCCTCCTGGGCCGGACCGGCTCCCCAGCAACTTGGTTCAGTACTACGATGATGAAAAGAAGACGTGGAAAATACTCACAAGTGAGTGCCCTTCTTTATTTATTTACCCACCTATTTGTTTCAGCTTAGAGCTGTCTCGATGAATTCGAAAACATGGCTAATCAAATTAGACATTTTGTTGATTTGTTACCCTTTGGAGGTCTGTTTATGTATCACCGGGGATTTAGAGTAAAAGACTAAATTAACATTGCAGAGGTGGCCAATTTGGTAGTCGAATAGGCCTAAATTAAAGTGGCCTAAAAGCACTACGTGAGTTTGTGTCTCTGTGACAGAGAGGGGGTGGTCACAGAGATGTGCCGAAAGAAATGCCTCCGTTCTTTTTTTTTTTTGCTTATCGGAAAGTGAAAGGTCGGGTAATAGCCCCAGTAAATTTTCTCACATCTTAAGGGGTGTTTCACTCATTGTCTTTGTAACTAACACTCATTTCACCTTTTAGACATTTTCTGCTCATTCGTCTTTAGTCTGTAAAACTGGGTCTTAGAGAAACACGCCCCTCAATAGACCAATAATAATAGCTCCACAGTTTGGATGGACAGATCCCGTGGCCTATCCCAGCTGCCTTCAATTGTGCTTACAAACTTCCACCCAAGATTCCCTTCCTCCCCTCCTTAAAGGGTGATTGTGTTTTACAGCAAACCTCTTGCCTTGGGCACTGAGATTTGGAACTTATTGTTACGTCGGTTATGATTCCCAATCTAACTCAGTCATGGAATCAAAAATCATCATTTCTTGAGTGCAGCAGGCCCCTCGTGGGCACAGTGGCTGCACTGGTCAATAAAACTAAATTTTAACTGTCAAAATTGCCCAGAGCTGTATAGATAAAATAATAAATGAGTAATTTTGACCCATAAATCAAAGCCATACATTGAAAACCGGCAAAAGAGAAAGTTAGATTTTCTTATAGCATGTGTCTTTTAAGCAGTTATATATTTTATCAGATTTTTTAAAAATCATTTCCTCTCCTCTTACTGAAAGCCCTTTTAAATAATAGAAACAGGACAACAGTTTGCCCATAAGAGCAGAAGAGGCACAAAGACATGTGAGGTGGTGCTTGAAATAATACATTTCGGAGCTGGCTTACCCCGGCGAGACCACCAGTAGCATTGTCCAGGATCTGCAACGAGGAAGCTCCCTGGACACCCATACGCTACGGTTGTAGGAAAGAAGCGGGGGGATAGTAGCAGGAAGCTTAAGGAGAAGGAAGGAAGAAAAATCAGTTAGAGATCCTTAAAATGGTTTTCATTCTCTTTTTTGACAAAAGGACTGTTAATAGTGATTTGAACATCTGAATGAGTGACCAAGCTGTATTTTTAAAGTAAAACCAAAGAATCAATTATCTGACACTGATCAATAGAGAAAGCCTACACAGAATAAGACACGGATGCTAGGAAGAGGAGAGAAGAAAAAGGAAAGACAAAGATTCTCGAAGAGCGATGACAGAGACATAGAGGCAAAAGAAGTGATACTCATTCACAAATCCATCTGCTTTCCCAAATACACCAGGCAAAGCCCAATTTGCTACTGGTTTGAAGCCCTTCATTAAAGGCAAGACGATTAATTAAAACATCATGAATAATACCCAAGAAAAGTCTTAGGTTCATTTTAAAGCTTGTTCGGAGACAGAGTGATCATCCAGTTTGGTCTCCAAACGGGGACACTTCAGAGCATGACATGGGGACCTACTGATTATGCTGGGACAATAGGTATAGACTGGAACATAGGGGCACCCTACTCAAATTTTTCACATTGCCTGATTTAACTCTTTACTTAGAAGGATGTGGTAAGAAGACATGAACTTGAATCAGTCAGACCTGGGTTCAAACCCATGTCTGTGACCTTGAGCCAGGCATGTCAATGTCCCAAGTCATGGCTTCTTCTTCTTCTTCATTTTGTCAGCATCATTGGAGTATTTTTTAAATAAAATTGTGTTTATAAGTCATCTAGCACATAGCGTGAGCTCAACCAATTCCGGGTGTTGTGGCCATTATTAGAACAACACCACCAGTCTGAGCACAAGGACTGTGTGGACCTTTATACCCTAGAGGCGTCAGTCAACTCAAGCTCTCTATGCAGAGGTGAGACAAATTACACTACAACAGATACAGCACTTTGACCCACGGTCCTGGAGCCAGGAACCTATTTTCCATAGTTTTCCCATGTTGCGTGTGGTGATCTACAGACTCAGAAGTAGAGATAAATGACTGTCAGTTGACTCCATTCACCAGGTTTGAAATGGAAGGAAATACAGACATGAATGTATACAAAAGTTCTTATAAAGGGAGCATACTCAAAGATCTTGAACCTCTTTCCTATAGTCAGGCATGCTTACAGCTTTGAAATAAATGTCTACTCCACTTATACTCTTCATTTCACTGGGACTTGTATTTTCAAAAATAGAGTTTATTACCTGCTGGGCTGTGACTACATGGCCCCAAGTGAAGGCATATTTTTCAGGTTTGTTGGAGAGATATAGACAGTTTATCTGGATGCTTTCTGCTGTTGGTGTGTATTTTTTAATTAAGGCATCTTATTTGACTAATAAATAAGTCAGGTCACTGACAGATTTCCACGCTATTTGGGCCATCTAACAATAAAGGAAGAAATGTTTCTCACTGGAATAGAAAAAAAAAAAAAATCCAAATTCTCCCTAAATCCAACGAAGCATCTGGGATCGCAGAGCTTCCCACTGCCATTCTTTTGACCCTGAAGGGCAGCTAAACTTATTGGCAGGGAGATGAGGATGACAGTTAATGCTAGCAGACAGGGCCCGGCTTGGGTCTGCTTATTTATCAAATGGCTGTCTCCATATCAACTAACAAATAAGCTAACTAGCAAAAACCTAAAACCCGAGGTTAGCTAGAGCCTCTGAATCTTAGAATCCTTTGCCCTCGTGGCTTGAGCAGACATTTCTCAGCCTGTCTCATAAACATGCTCCTTCGAGAAAGATGGCATTCCACAGGCAGGAGCACAGATACCCAGTTAGGGGAGCCACACGGCTTATACGAATTTTATAACAAAGAAGAATGCAAAGGATCTCTTTAGATCTTACCCTGTTATGTTTTAGAATCAGAGTTTAAGGGGTACACAAGTAATAATAAATTGAATGGAGGAGGGTGAGTAGAGGAAGAAAGTGGATCTATATCACATAAAGAAAAGAAATCCAGCCGTCAGCCAGTCAGCGGTCTGGTCTACCCAAACAGCAAAGGGAACAATTACTCTCACAGAAAAGACTGTTTTGGTAACATGCTGACACAGATTGCATTTTTATCCGCTTCTTTGGAAAAATCATTTAATATAACATTAAATAATTAATGTTGAGAATAGTGACAGGGCTCCGTGGTCTCTCGTAGAAAAAGTACTGGGAAATAACATGTAAAAATGACTGTAAAGTCCTTTTGTCAGTGTAAAATGTTAAGTAATAACAGTAAAATTGGCATTTTTTTCTCTCGACTGTTAATAATAGAAGGGAAGTTGAGATGCACTTTTGTTCATTTTTATTTTACAGTACTGCTTCCCCTGCATTTCTCACTCCTGCACGCAGTCTCCCGTTTCATTCTTAACTTATTAGAAAGCAGTACAGGAGACCTGAATACTAAAATGGCCAGCGCAAAAAACATGCCTCTTGCACTTTGCAGGCCCTAAATCCTCGGTGTGAAGATCAAACCAAACAATTCCCATGGCTACTTCAGACTTTTTTTACCACACATCAAAGTTCTTGTGAAGTCCACATGTAGAAGGTCCCCCCCGCCCCCCGCAAGGGACAGCACTGAGGGGCCATCTACTTTCTTCGTGCTCCCCATTGGCCGAGTCCTTCGCTGGTGGAGAAAGGTGTTTCCTGGGGACTGACTTCCTTCTTCCTGCATTTCAGATGAGACATTCTACTTGTTAGGTGCTTGTTACCGCTTTCTGTGAGCAAGGAGGGGGAAGAGGACTTCAAAACAAAGATCTGTCCTTCCGCGTGCCCATGACGACTTCCCTTTAATAACGTTAGGATGAAAATTAGAAGAACTAACTTAGAAAGGCATCTTCCTCCTTCTGGCCACCTCGGTTCTCTTTGCCAGAGGTAGGGGGAAATGCCTTTTTTCCCCCTCTTCCTTTCAATTGATTTGTGGCTCTATTCTCTACCTGGTAGTGCAGGGGTTGGGGGCCTTGTATTTTTCAGTGGCAGGACATAAAGGAAACCACCGTGTGGAGATTTCCTGGGCCATCTCCTCTGATCCCTGGAGGACATTGAATTTGATCCCATCCACACGGGAGGGGTTCTGAGTCTGGGTGTCAGTGATTTCTTTTAGGAGAGTCACAAATATCAGAAGCTGGTGGACTCTCCATTCTTTTTTTTTTTTTTTTTTTTAAGAGTGGGGAGGGTCGGGCGCCTGGGTGGCTCAGTTGGTTAAGCGACTGCCTTCGGCTCAGGTCATGATCCTGGAGTCCCTGGATCGAGTCCCGCATCGGGCTCCCTGCTCGGCGGGGAGTCTGCTTCTCCCTCTGACCCTCCCCCCTCTCATGTGCTCTCTCTCTATCTCATTCTCTCTCAAATAAATAAATAAAATCTTAAAAAAAAAAAAAAAGAGTGGGGAGGGCCTGAGGGCGAGGGAGAGAGAGAATCCCAAGTAGGATCTATGTCCAGTGCAGAGCCCGACCATGGGGCTCGATCTCCTGTCCCTGAGATCATGACCTAAGCTGAGATTAAGAATCGGCTGCTCAACCCAGGTGCCCCTTCATTCTTTTTTTAAAATATACTGCCCAGGGATGCCTGGGTGGCTCAGTTGGTTTAAACATCTGCTTTTGGCTCAGGTCGTGATCCCAGGGTTCTGGGATCGAGTCCTGCATCGAGCTCCCTGCTGAGTGGGGAGTCTGCTTCTCTCTCTGTCTGCCGCTCCTCCTGCTTGTGCTCTCTCTCTCTCTCTTTCTCTTTGACAAATAAATAAATAAAATCTTTAAAAAAATAAAATAATATATACTTTCCATAAATGTTGAAGGACTAGTACCAAGGAAGCAAATCTTATATAAGACAGTGAACT